AAGAAGCAGAGATGTCAGCACTACAATTGCAGACAGCCGAAACACTTTGGTAGAGCATGCCAATTGTTAATTTTTTATTTCACATTTGGCTGTTTTTTGTCTAGCTTTTCGCGGCCAGGAGCCGGTGTCATAATCGAGGTCACGACCTGATTAATGGACGTTAAAAAGTCGAGGAAAAAAAACAAGCAATCGCAGCTGTCAAGATATTATTAGGAGTTAGTTCCCCTCACATCAGCTGTGAGGTAGACTCAAGGAGATTAAAAAAAAGTTCTAAACTCCTTGGGTAGACTCGACCAGTGTAATCGTTAGCTTACATAATCAGCGTGTGTGGGTGCTTATAACTGTGGCTCGAAAGGGGTGAACAGGGTATATGCAGCAAATGAAACAGTTTTGACTGCTATGCACATGTTCCCTTCAACTCTATTGGTAGACTCTTCCAGATTCACTTTAACTTTAAGCTTACTTAATCAAAGCTTGCGACTGCTTATGGAGTGGCCCGATAGGGGCAAACAAGTTATTTCTGTGGCAATGAAACGGTTTTGAAGGTTAGGCATAGTCTATTGTTCATTGGTGATCATGAACGTCTCTTTACATTTAATTTATGAGGTTTACGTGTAAGGGTGAATTTGACTGCGAAAATGTTTCAAAATTAGGAAGGGAAGCAGTGATTATTTGATTATATAGACGGTTCGCCTCTGTTGTAATGTGATGTGGTGAGTGGCAGAAAAGGTCCCAGTAGTGATTTCTGTACTGCTTCCAACATGTTTTCAAATCAATACTCCTCTGAAATTTACTGATGGATTTTATTGTCCTTTGGAATACATGTACCCAAGAGAGTTATACATTGAAAGTCAAGGTGAAGATCAAAGTGAAAGTGAAGGTGAAGGTGAAAGTGAAGGTCAAGGTTGCCTCATATAATTCCTCTGTGAGTGTCACTAGGTTCGATATGATATCATAGACACTTGTGTTATGTGAAGCAACTGGTGTTTTGGCTAGAAGTGGTGTGTATTGCCTTTTTGTACTCAATTTACGGAAAGATTAGGAAAGAGCCATTTTCCAGCTTTTTTTTTAGGCCAGGTGGTTTTTCATTTATCCTCCCTGTGTGTGTGGGGGGGGGTGCATGCGAGTGTGTGTGTGTTTGTGTGTGTGTGTGTGTGTGTGTGTGTGTGTGTGTGTGAGAGAGAGAGAAAGAGAGAGAGAGAGAGAGAGAGAGAGAGAGAGAGAGAGAGAGAGAGAGAGAGAGAGAGAGAGAGAGAGAGAGAGAGAGAGAGGGGAATCTTTTCTGTGTACAAGAATTCCCCCTCCCTCTTTTTTACTATCTCTTCCTCCCGCTTGCTCAAGCCATGCCAATGCCTCACGACGTCTACTACTGAGGTGTCACCCTAAATGCACCCTCCCTACCTGCGTATTCACATATAATTTCTATGTTGTAAATTGAAGCTTGTAATGTCTCCAAATGATTTATCATTGGACTGCTTATCAGACTCTTAAGTTACTACATTCTTGATCCTTAACATATTCTCTTTTTGTCTTGTTCGTTTTTGTTTGGTTTTCTCTTCTCTTGGCTCTTGACCTAACTGTATGTTGTGAGAACGTGTTCAAGGGGACAGGTTTACCCTGATGTTCACACAAATTCAGACACTCATGTTGTTGTTGTTGTTGTTGTTGTTGTTGTTGTTGTTGTTGTTGTTGTTGTTGTTTTCAAATCCCTATAGCTGCGAGCATTTCGCTCTTGGCAGCGCAATGCCTCCCTCAAGTAACCACATGTCCTTGTCATCTGGTCAACGCCAGAGTAGAGCAGGCTTTGTAAATCTGTAGGTGTGTGTAGGAGCCTGCGTCGAAGAACTGCCAGGTTTGGGCAGTGAAGGAGAAGATGTTCAACGGTCTCCTCGTGGTAGTCACAGTGTCTGCAATGGGGTTCTCACATGGGGTTAATTCTGTTTATGTGCTTATTGGTGTGTAAGTGTCCTGTGCGGGCTCTGAAGATCAATGTCTGATCGGCTCTACATAACAGATTCGAAGGGTCTTTGGGGTTGGGTTTGTCCATGTACCCGAAGAGAAATCTTCCTGTTTCTGCGTTGGCCCATCTGATTAGCCACTCGTCTCTGCTTTCGGCTTGGATGATCCCTCTGCAGGTCTGTAAAGAGGCGGCTGTGTTTGTTTGGGGCAGACTTGCTCCAGTCTTTGATAGCTGGTCTGCAGTCTCATTCCCAGGTACTCCAGAATGGCCAGGCACCAACTGCAGTGTGACCCGGACGCCATAGGAAGTGCCCATCTGGTTTACAAGGCTGAGAATGTTCCTGTCACCTCTGTAGTCTCCTCCTCCCTCGACGGCTTGGAGCACTGACATTGAGTCAGAGAAGACAACAACATCCCCTGGTGTTATTGCGCCTTCAAAAAGTCTTGAGTGATCTGCTCCAGGGTCTTTACTATGGCGATTCTCTCTGCGTCATAGTTAGAGCTGTATGTTCCACATGGGCCAAATAGTTGGGTCTGCTTCTTCTCTCCCAGGTTGTTTCGATATTTGATGATAGATCCGTATCCAGCATTCCTTGTAGAGTTTGTTGCTGATCCATCTGTGTATGCATTAATTGGAGTTTCAGCATACGAGTCCACTGTCTCCAGGGCACTAGTTCTGAGGATTTTTTCTTGTGTGGTCTTGTCGCAAGAGGGGTCTAGAAGTCCTTATTGTGATTTCTGGTGTCTGCCAATAAGTAGGTTCGCTGCTGATGTTGGTGATTGGTTCTCTGTTCTCGGGTGGGTCAAACTCCTCCAGTAGTTTTTGTTGCTTCTCGCAGGAAGGAGGTCTTCTGGATGCGTGTTCTTCGTTCCCACTATTCTGCCATTTTCCTGATTTCGTTCGCGTCCTCTAGCCGCACAAGTCTTTCTTAGGTTTCGAGTGTAGCACTCTTTCTTCTGAGGTCCAGTGGTTCTATGTTGGTGTGGTCTTCTTTGCACCAGTAACAAATCTGAGTGCTTGGTTCTGAACTCTGTCAAGCTGTGCCAAAGAGCTTTGGCTGGCTATGGATTGTAGTGGTAGGGAGTAGTCAATCACAGATCTGACATACCCTATATAAAGTTGTCGGAGGGTTGCTGTGTCAGCTCCCCAGTTGAGTGATGAAAGGTGTTTCAGAAGGTTTAGTCTGGAGGTGGCTTTCTTAGTCAGCTCCCCTAAGTGCTCTTTGAGAGACAGCTTTCGGTCCAGTTGTACACCAAGGTACTTGGGGTAGTCCTCATGTATGATGGTGGTTCCATTGATCTTAAGGTTTACCTGACCTGCTGTAACCTTGTTTTTGAGGCTGAAGAATCCAAAAACAGTCTTGTCTGTGCTGATCTCCATCTTCCATAGCTGGCAGTAGGACGAGATAGTAGTCAGGTCTGCGTTGATGGCTTGGTTCAGTGCTCTCATGTCACTTCCTTTGCTCCAGATGAGTAAGTCGTCAGCGTAGAGTGCTTTCTGGCAGGAGATGACATCTGGTAAGTCGTTCATGAACATCAGGAAGAGGGTACAGCTGAGTACCCCTGTGGGAGGCCTTCCTCGAGTGTCCTCTGTGAAGAAATCTTTCTGTCACATGAATTCTGGATAGTTCTGCAAGACAGAAAGTTCTTGATCCAGCAGTACACCCTTCCTGCTATCCCAAGCTTTAGCATTTTGTAGAACAGTCCCTGTCTCCACACACGGTCGTACGCCTTCCTCAGGTCGATGAAGACAGCCACAATAAGGTCTTTATCTTGAAAGGCATCGCTGGTCTTCAGTGCAAATCTGATGAGGTGGTCCATAGTTCTTTTGCCTTTCCAAATTCTGCCTGCGATGTGCTGATTGTGCCGGTGTTTTCCATCCACCAGTACAGTCTGTCGTTGACCATTCTCTCGACGACCTTACTCAGGCATGATGTTAAAGAGGTTGGTCTATTAGCTTGAAGGCTGGCTTGCTGGTTCGTCCTTCTTCAGTTTCAGTGTGATGTTTGCCTTCTTCCATTCTCTTGGGAGCTGTCCCTCATTCCAGGTCCTCTTGAAGAAGTCCAGGAGTATGGAGAGGGTAGAGTCTGTCAGGTTGAGTATCATCTCATTGGTGATGTGGTCTGGTCCTGGGGCCTTTCTCTTTTTACACTTTTTGAGGGCTGCCTTCAATTCCGTCTGAGTAAACTCCTTCTCAAACACCCCCAGTTACACCACTCATAGTTACTGTCAATTGATGCTCTTTGTTTTTAATTCTCTTCACACTAATCACCAACATAATCTTCTCTATCTTGTCTCTTATGTCACAATTTAGCAGAACATTATTATGTAGGCCCCTATATATATATATATATATATATATATATATCATCGAACGTGTTTGCTTTCCGTGATATTGGGTAGAATCTAATTATATTTTGAAAACTTGTTTGTGCATGCATATGTGTGTGTGTGTGAGTGTGTGTGTGCATGTTGCCACGCTCTCGCATGTGCCTATAAATAATGTGCGTGGGAATGGAAGGGGGTGTATGGATGTGCACAAGTTACGATGAACATTGTGTTTGAAATGAGGCGAGTTTTTTGGGGGGTTTAAAAAAAAACATTTTACGGACTATCGTTCAAGGCACCTGTCATTCAGTGTTGAATCTGGAATTGAGTGCAGG